TACTGGCAAGTGTAATTATTATAAGTACGTGAAAGACAACATTTTTAGTTTACCCAGTTGACGGGTATAGACAAATGGCTAGGAACTAAGTATATATAAGCTTATCGAGTTACCAATTTGCGTCTGTTTAGCCAAGTAGGTAGGAATACCCTTTGGCAAGTGGCTTTGGCCTATTCACATGGGATGGGTGAAGCTGATTTTTACAAAGGTACTTGGTTTTGGGTTTATGAATATGTATATGTATATACCCGATTGAAATTTAAAAAAAAAACAAACATTTTTACACATATATCGATAAGGTACATTATACATTTATTGCATGATAGTGAGGGAAATATGAAGACTTATTCAGCCAAGAAAAATCATATTCCCCGAGGGCTTCGCCCGAGGGGAATATGATATTTCTTGGCTGAATAAGTCTTCATGTTTCCCGAACATTCATGCAATGAATTGTTTATTATACCGAAACAAGCAAAATTTTTGAAAATAAACATAAACTTTCAAATTCGGCACCGCTCTCAAATTCACTTTCATTGTAGCGTAAAGTTTTGTGACGTAAACCAGGCTATTGTGACGTCTACTACTCTCGGGAGTTTTCGTTCAACGAACGAGAACTATATTGCGGGAAAATTCACTAGGTGTTCCGAAGAGGTGGAATATGATGAAAAGCGTGTCAACGACGGGAAAAATGAAGTTTTACGGCCCGATCACGTGATAAACTAGAACCAATCAGATAACGCGTTGTGTAGAATATTTATAATGAGGTATAATAAATACATTTATAATTATAAACCAAGACCTAAGTACCTATGATTTTCTGTGAAGAGTATTTCTTCCTTCTATGAGCCTGTAGTCTGTCAGATGAAACTACAATTTACAACTACACATCCAGGCGCGGATCCAGAAATTTTTTCCACGAGGAGTCCACCCCAGTCAAAAAAAAAAAATCCAATCCCACAAATTTCTTGACAAGCAAAAAAAAAAAAAAAAAAAAAAAAAAAACAAAAACCTTAACTCGCTCAAACATCAAAAACCTATTTCGTGGGGGGGGGGGGGGGGGGGGGGGGGGGGGGAATTGAAGTGGTAACTTCTATTGCCTCAAATCTTTCACTGTTCATACCCATTTCACACATATTCGCGTTTACCAGGGGGGGGGGGGGGGTCAGCGTTTTCCAGGGGGGTCCATGACCCCCTCTCTAGATCCGCGCATGACATCAGTATATTTTCTGTTGTATAAAATGGTAACTATATTTTAATCCAAATTCTTGCGCTTTCGCCGGTGTATAGTATCATGTATGGTACAAACGTGTGCATGTTCAGTTAACAGAATGCGCATTTAAGTCTGATATAGTGTCAAAAATAAAAAAAAAAATTCATTATCATCCGAAGAGTATGATACTTAAAATGAAAAAAATAAAAATAAAAATGAAATCAACGCGGTTGAATCCAATATTCATTTTACATGATATTCCATATATATCCTGGCGTTACCGGTTTTCAACTCTTCAAAGTACTTGCTGATACATTCTGGAGATGCTGCTTTCGCTCTTAATTCTGACAACCCTGAGGGTTTTACTGTATGAAGCTCCGGCCACCTCTTCATCAAGTTGTAATACCATTTCATGGTTAACTCTTTTCCTTTTTCCCTTATACCAAGATCTACCGCGTAATCCGAAGCGAGGTTAAGCACCTCTGTACGGGTATATCCATACCCTATCTCGGACATTGTCTTTACATGCTCCACTATGTAAGATTCCTGTTCCTGGGTAAACAGAGGCGGAGGACCCGATGATGCTACATCAATATTTATTCGTCCATCTACTCTATCTCTTAAAGTTGTCAAGGGAACTTGAAACCGTTTTGCAGCACCATGAACACTCATCCCCCCTTTTACTGCTTGGTAAGCATTATCTAACGCCTCTGGACCATAGTTAATTCTTACAATTCCCCCTTTGGATGGAAAATATCTACAAAGAAACAAACAATAAAGCAACGGACACAAAAATGTAAAACATAGAAAGATCCCGAAATTTATAATAAAATACCCATAACGGTCTTCCATACTTTATTTTTTTAAGCGGAAGTCTGGCCGAAGCAAGGTTTATGTATTTTTAGACCATAACACAGAGCTCTCCAACAGACGACAACACAGGATGATCAGATGTCGTTTTCAGACTTTAAGGTAGGGTTTTAGGGTGGGATTTTTTTGCATTATAAGAAGAGCGCGGAATTGGAGTAGATAATGAGAAAAATAGAATCTTACCTCTCTGAATGGCATATTTTTCAATCTGTTGGCTTTTTATAATTCGTTACGTCATATGCTAATTCCGAGAAGAGAAGTTCCGGAAATGACGAAAGGGTTTCAGATTTATCGTTAAAAACAGTAACCTATCGAAATTAGGATACTATCGAAAATAGGTAAGGCCATTCCAAGTTTTTTCTATGTTTAGCGTCCGCGTGCGCCTTGGTTTTTGACGCCCAATATCAGAAAAAAACAAACAAAATCAGAACACCCGATATTGATTATTTTGGTCGAAATCTTTGAATTCTATCATTTCCTGTTATAATCTGTCTACAATTTTTCATATTTGGTATGTTTTGAGCATTTAGTACATGGATTTTGCTAAAGTATAGATCTAGAAAGGAGAAAAAATATTCTTTTGAAATCAAATCCTTTGAAAACGTTATTTTTATGACTATAAAATCTGTGTTTTCTTTTTTGGTCTGTTGTGTTTTTTGCGAATAGATAGGTAGGTTTTTGAAAGATGGGTGGACACTAAACATAGAAAAAACTTGGAATGGCCTAACGGCATAATATAATTATATAAAGGGAAGGTGAGATTTTATCGGACTTCCCCCTGAAAGACTAGTTATACCAAGTCTATGCATGTGAGTCTAACCGGGAGGGAGGGGGGGGGGGGGTTACAGAGCGACTCTCCATCTCCCAAACACAAAAGTCAAAATGTTATTCTTTCGATGTCGTGTCATTTATTATTTTCTCCTCTCTAGTTTTAAGAAAATGTAAAAAAAAAAGTAATGCCAGATTATAAATGAGGAGAAAAAAAACTTAAATAAAATTTCTTTTTTATTAGGATTTGATTTAAATACAGTGTCACTTCAGTAAAAATTCCTTTTAAAGAAAGGTAAGATTTGTTTTCACAACTAATAAAGTTACAAGTTATGTAGTAAGTAGTTTATCCCATGAAAGAGACTTAATTTTATTTGTTAGGTTAACTAAATAAGATATATAATTAGGTGGTCTTACAGTTTTGAAAGAAAAACTTGACATTTTTTTGGCTCTTTATTGCAAATGATGTAAAGTTTTAATAATAAAGACTTAATTTTGTCCCTTTTACAAGATTATTTAAGGAGATGAATGACAGGCTAGGGCAGAACAACCTGAATCCCCGTGATCAAAATATTAGTGTACTCAATAGTCAAAAACGTGAATCCGCGCCTGGCGAGTGAGAGAGAAAAACAATCATTTAGATCACGCGTGATTTGTGGGACGTGGTTTGTCAATTTGTCGGTCTATGAGGAAGATAGAATGTAAGTTTGTCAAGTGTCAACAGTCCATCTATTATTTTTTTTTATGATTATCAGGTATTTAGCTGGAATTATAACAATTAAACATGTTAAAATAGCAACAGTTTCTACTTTCGATTTACGATTTACCACCAAACGACTCACGTGACAGCTGAAAAGTAAATAAAGATGCAGAGTGCGTACAAAATTTAAAGTTAGGATACACGTACCTAATATTTAATGCTTGTAATTTTGCAGATAAACCATATAATTTAATATGTAATTGCCATTCAAATAATTCGTCGAGTCTCTGGCCAAGGACACCGGTGGTTAATGTGAATAGGCCTAGTATTGAACATATGTGCATGGTTGTAAACTTGCATCCGTACACAAACATATCCTTACATTTGTAATCAATATTTAAATAAACTTTAAGTGCGTGCGTCTGTCGCAAACAAAAGATGATCGACTTGCTCAATTCTATTTCTTAAAATAATATTTAATATTACTGTAACAGTGCTTTAATTTTGACTTGAAATATTGTTATTTGTATGTGTATTAGATATTTAATATGATTCTAGTATAACAGAATATAGAGATTATTTTAAATCACAGTTAACGTTGAAACAATTGATTTTGAAATGGGGGGGTTGGGGGTTGGTAGGAAGGGGGTGGCTGAAAATTTCGAAAATGATTTGAGTCAGATTATTTATTTTATGGCCAGTCATGCAAGGACATATTATTGATAATTATTTTCAACATGATCAGGGAAGCTAATCTAGATCCTTTTTTATAAAGCTTGACAAAATGTACAAACAAATAGATAAAATAAATAACTAGATTAAAAATTTAGAAGCACAAAATGAAGAAAAAGCTAGTTTGTTCAGGATTGGAGATTGGGATTGTTCCTAATGTAGAGCGTTTTATAAAACCAGTCAAATAAAAATTATACCTTATATCTGATTTCCTTTATATTAAAACTGTTTTAAAACGCTTTATTTAATTTAATTTTTTGGCACAAATGTAGTTTTAAGTCGGACATATGTTTGTTTTGGATAAAGAATTGGTAGTCGTTGGCTTCAGCACATGTTGTATAATTATATAAAAACATCAAATTTTTTTTTTAAGAAATCGGCACTTTTTATCGATCCCTTCTTTATTTGATTAATATTTAAATGTTACCTTTGCTTATTCGACTTTTTGTTTTAGGGTAGAAGTTTCCTTCTGTAATCTTATGATGTATTATAATAGCAGACGACCCACGTACATGCCAACAAACAGTAAAATGCACGACTACTGGACATGCACGACTTTCGACCACATTTGATTCAATCAAACATAAGCTCGTACTGGAACTAAATGTAGTAAACAAGAATCAGTACACCACTCATTTAAGTCTGATTAACACTTAAGTACGTTTTACAATATGTTGAATATTGTCTTTTTTCAGGTCGTAGAAAACCAAAAAAAAAAAAAAAAAAAATGGCGACTGCACAAGGCCAAGATGTGGTACGTTGCAATTTTTGTCCAGAACCCGTAGAATTTTACTGTAACCCGTGCTCTGTGGAATTGTGTAGCAGCTGTGTTTTAAGGCACATGATGGATAAATCGAAAAATCATGAAGTTGTTGCATTTGAGAGCAGAAAAATCAAAACTGTGTATCCAGAGTGTCAGTCTCACAGAAATAAATGCGAGACATATTGTCGTGATTGCAAGGCAGCCATATGTATCAAATGCGTCATCGGTTCACACAAAGAGCATGACGTCACGGAAATAGAGGAAATAGTTCAATTACAAAGAAAACGTATAGAATCTGATACAGAGGAATTGGAAGAAAATGCCTTGCTAAAAATTATGCTTATGAAAGAAAATGTTTCCTCAAGCAATGTTATGATTGACAATGTCCTCTATGAACTGACTGAAAGAGAAAACCAAATTAAGGCAGCGGTTCACAGTGAAGTAGAGAAGATGAGGAAAAAAATTCTTCTTGTTAAAAAAGGTAATAAAGCTGTCATTTCAGAAAACCAGTCCCACATTTCTGATTTGGAATCCAAACTAAAGCAAGAGATAAAGAAGAATAGACAAATTCTGCAGACACAACAGATACAGGCTATATTGAATTATGAGTGTATTCATGAAAATTTCAAAACAGACTTAAACCTCCAAAAGTGTGTTCATCCACATTATGTATGCACAGAAATTGAAAACGAACATCTAGTTCGATTGGTAGGTCATTTATCCTTTGACGAAGTCAAAACAGTCAAACAAAACTTACAATTAAAAGAAAGTCCGGAAATATTGTATTCATGTACAATTCAGGGTTCTAACAAATCTCTTTGGAGAATATTGTGTGTAGAAAATCATAAACTATGGATAAGCGGCGAGAAAAACTCCCTCAGGCAAATAGACAGGAAGGGGACAACATTACAAGTCTTTAGCACTGTCAAAAACCCTATAGCTTTCTCATTTAACTGGAACACTTTAATATTTGCATTAAATGATGAGACCAAAGTTTATATCGTCAAAGACAATAAAGAAGAACAATATCTAAAGTGTATTGGCTGGTTTCCAAAAGGTCTTTGTTATCTACAGAACGGAAATCTGCTGGTGAGCATGCGCTCCTACGATGAAAAACAAAGCAGAGTATTAAGATTCTCAGGTACGACAGAGATACAGAAGATTCAGTACGGCACCCGAAAACAGCCTTTGTTTTCCTGTGGAGTTTCTTTTGTTCTCTTGCTAACTGAAAATGGAAATGGTAACATCTGCGTAGCAGACTATGGAGGAAGCGCCGTTGTTGTTTTGGATTCCTTCGGAGAACTTCGGTTTAGGTACGAAGGAAACATTTCCAACCAGTCAAAGTACACCCAATTCCTGCCGATGCACATTGCTGCCGATATCAATCATCAAATTTTGATAGGTGATAGCAGAAATAACATTGTTCACATCATTGACTGTGATGGAAACTTTATCCGTTATCTAGAGCATCCATGTAATGGAGGACTTAGTGTTGATGCAGATTACAATTTAGTTATTGGTGATAGAAAATGTGGAAAAATTCAATTCATCAAATATTTAGAGTAAATTTTTTGAGATCAAAATTACACGAGCAAGCACGTCGAAAATACAGTTTTCATTATTGAAAAACCGTCATTACTCTGCCTACCTTTATACTGTTATTTTTTGTTACCTTTGCAATTTCGATTCTTGTGATCAGGATTAGTAAAACGTAAATGATTATGAATAAAAATTGAATAATATACGACTTCTCAAAATGTGCCTAAAATGTATCAATTTTTTGCCCTGTGCCTTAGTTGTTGCTTTTAGCTGAAAAGGCTTGATACATTTAATTCTTGAACATGACTGTGTTATACGGCAAATTATGATTGTAAATTGATGTTGAACTGCGTATCAATTTTTATATACGTCTACGTTAGTTTTTTTTATCTCCATTCCGAGTGTGATCTAATATATTAATCTGACCATTTGATGTGTATTGACATGAGCATATCCCCTATTCTTACCTTGTTACATTGTTACCAAATGATTCATTGGTGATGGCTCGAAAGTAACCTCTATTCAGAATTCAAGTCAAATTATTAAAGATAAATCATGTCAAAATTATAGTTAAAAAAAACTAAACATTTTATTCTTCACCTCACACAATCTTGCACGCATTTGACCTTATAATCTTTTTTCTCAAGAGTGTGAATGGTCATATATTTAAAGATCAGTGCATATACTTCCTGTTTTGTTTATTTGTTTGATGTTGAACGTCTCTCGAGAGAATTGTACACTCATATGGAAACATCATAAATTGTCAGCTGATGGCTGCGACTTTATACCTACTCAAAGGCTGTTAGAAAAGTTCGTGGTCAAGTTCTTCATGTATTGAGAGCGCAGTATATTTTCAGGAAACCGGTTAAACTCTCCATATAAAATCTATACCTATTTTTCAATAAATATTGAAGGACTTGTCGTTCTCTGGTGATCTTTTAGGTTCATAAACCCTCTGTTCACTTACAGGAAATTTTTCTCTAACTTTTATGATTTTCCAAAGCAAATGTAAAAGCTGAATAAAATACAAACATTTATAACATGGCTTGCGGGGCAAAATTAAAAAAAAATCACTTAAGCTTGACAAATTTATAAAGAATAATATAAATTTGTGTCATTAAGAGTTACCTCTCTAGATCTTAACAGAGTATCATTGTACCTTTAACAATTTACAGCTATATATTATTTTGACAGGCGACACGGAGCATGCTCATTTTTCGCATGTTTACATTACAAGGTCGTTTTATTGAAATCGAAAATTGCACAATTGTAGACAGGACAGAAAGTATTCTGATATTTTTCTCTGTCCCTATAAAAGTGATAAAACGTTACTTACCGAAATTTAGGATTAAATTGGAGGGTGTATGACTGTTTTATAGCCACTTAAGTAATTAATTTCACTTTTGAATATTCAGGAGGACATGAAATACGACGCTTCACGCCGGCATTATTTCCTGAGGCGCGTTCGCGCTTCCTGATAAATATGCAGGTGTGAAGCGTTGTTGTTCATATACCTCAGGAATCTACAAAAATGAAATTTATTTCTTATATTTACATTATTTTCTGATGGTTTACCAAAAATAACGCCGTTCAACTATAATTCTTAAAGCAAAACTGTTTGCACAATAGTTCTGACGTTAAGTACGGTGTTACGACGTAGCGATGGAGATATTCATGCTCATCCATGGTAGCTCATGAAAAAATTAACAAATTCTAATTTGTAAGGAATGTTAAAAACAAATAAATGGAAATGCTAATATTTAAGAAATGAATTTAAATTTTGGAAATCCATGAGGTTATGAACTACCAAGCTTCGCTCCGGCATATTTCACGAAGTGCATTAGCGCTTCATGATAAATATGCCGGCGTGAAACGTTGTAGTTCATAACCTCATGAATCTTCAAAAATTAAATTCATTTCTTATATCTACATTATTTTTCTTACGAGTTGCCGTAAATTTACGCTATTCAACTGTCAAAGCTAAAGCAAAACAGTTTGCACTATTTGTCGTCATGTGTGGTAAAAATATGTTCAAACCAAACCAATGGGAACATTATTAAACGTCATGGAACACCGAACCTCTAAAAATTGTGTGTACAGCCAGGAAAATGTTTAAAAAATAGACTAGAATGCTTCTAGATGTTGCTGAAAGTTGCAGACAAGAACAATGGAACAAAAATATTCGAATGGTACTAGCTTTATAAGAATGGAAGTATTGACATTTTAATGGTGAATTACGTCGATACCTCAATGCTCCACTTATTGCATGGATTTTTGCAGCCATGGATTTTGTATTGTTTCCAAACCTATATCTCTTAACTGCAACCAGACATTTATTTTAGGGTCAAGATCTAGTGAATGAAAGATGCCTAAAGATTTATCAAATTTGAGAAAAAATTTAACTATGCTTTACAACTTTAGCTCTGTCAAATAAGGTGTTTCGGGGCATAAGTTGTAGGCAAACAAGATGAAAAACCATATTTTAAACTGTCATTTTAAAAAAAATGAGAACACCAGACATGAATATGGGAGTTTTTTCATATTCGACAAGACAATGTATCCAGAATGCCTACAGTCTTTCAGAAAACGAACATTAGTATGTTTATTGCCACTTCTTTGAAATAATATCAAATTTAATATAGGTATTGGGATTTCTTTTCAAATGATTTTAAATTGAATACCAAGAAAATACCCTATTTTCTACATAATTCTGCTAAAGCCATAAAGTACGTGAAAAAAGAAAGTTGAAATTGATTATGACGTCATAATGGATCTAGCACCAAAAGCTAGTCTAAAGTCATTTACTAGATCTTGACCTTAAGATCTCATTAATATCCAAAAGAGCACAAAATGAAAATTTTTCACTGTATGAAAAAATTTAAAGGGTTTGAAATCTGGTTATCAGATTACTTAACGTCAAAAGATTGTTCCAAAAAAGTCTATGACTTCATAGTACAAAATGTTGTAAATTTTCTAAATTTTAGTAAAATGACCTGACTTTTTACATACTAATAAAAAAGAATTTAATCAGATATAAGTAATTCTTCACAGAACACAATAGATTTTCCGTAAATCAATGTGTCCGCGAACTTTTCGAACAACCCTTGTACTTGGCACTCAGGGCAATAAGGGATCATTTTTGTGCCAACACCTACTGCCACCGGGATCCTCAGTTTATGCTGTCTTATCCAAAGGAAAGGTAACAACATAAATATGTAAATATACCCTTCGAAAAAACTCCTCTCTCAAATACGTAAATTTGTCTGCAGACAAGGTTGGCTAACACTTCATACAAAAGTATCTTCGATGAGGGATATACGAGGAACTATCAAGAAGTTCGTAGATTAGGCCATAAAATTAAAACCGCTCTTAGTACATCAATGAATTTTGAAATATCTAGTTAGCATCATCTTTTCTATCTAAAGAATAAACCATCAACTACAAATTTTATTTTTTTACATTAAATTAGTAATGTTTTGTAAGCAATGGTATGTCCAGGCGGCGCAACCTCGAACACGACGTTTTTGCGTTAAAGCGGACATTGAAAAACAATGACGTTGTCTGACGTCATGAAACTAAACAACGACAACGCCTATTGATCATATAATGTCCTTTATATTTTTTTTAATAATTTGGCAAATAAAGAAGCTTATCAAGCCAAAATTTTCAACATTTCTTCATATTTTGTTGTTATATGTTCCATAAAAATTTTGAAAGCATAGACTACATAGTATTAATTTTATAGCCCCAGTCCCGAACTTTTTGATGACCCCTCGAATAGGTTTCAAACTTAATGGAATTCAAACCATAAAGCGTGTAGAAACCATAAGGATTTGATGAGGATTTTCAAATTATCCACAGAATAAAGAATACTGAGTGGAATGATCTTCGGGGAAAAAGTATAAAGATAACATTACTTGATCTTTAAATTTTGAAAAATTAAGTATTTGTATTCTAATTCCAGAAACAATTAAAAGGAATAAAAAAACTGAATGCAAAAATTTTATCTAAAGTATTGATTTAAAAAGTGTAAGTTATTGATATGAACAAAATAAATAGCCTCGAATCAATGTACGACATTCAAACTCTTTATACTACATGTGTCATTCCTCAAAACAAATTTGATAGAATATTGAGATCTGCACTCAAAGAAATATAGTCTATATCAACCCTGCTCTCTATAAATAACTTTTGTTATAGCATGTTTATGCTTGTTTTAAAAATGAGGAATATTTCTTTGCATATTGCAATATAGGGTTATTGAACTTAAATTGATTAATATTGGCACAAGTTGGCTGTACAAATGCACGAGTTTGCGAGTGCATTTATACAGCCAACGAGTGCTAATATTTACCAATATAAGTTCAATAACTCCTTTATCAAATAGCTCAAACATTTCATCACAATTTATAATAATCATTCCAACTAAAATCAAAGTACTGAAAGTACTGAAAAGCGGTTAGCATGCTTTCATCGAAAATGTACAACAACCAAAAATGCATTGAATGATGATATTAAAGTAAGCATGCATATCTTTGTCCAATGTCATCAGAGAAGAAGCAGACACACTGTTTTGTAGTACTTAACTAGATAGTAAAATCAATAACATCCCAGACTGATGTCACAAATGCATGTTTCAAAATATCAACATGAGATTTTCAGTTTGAAAGACAGGAAGTTCAATAAAAAAAAATCTCCCTAATTGTCTCCTTGGTGGCGTCCAAAAGTGCTCAGGACGAAAATAAAATTATGTTGATGTTGCAAATTTACTTGTCTTTCATGCTTTCATGTTCATTGATTCTGAAATTAGGTAACTGTAAAAGCTACTACAGCAAACAACTCAAAAAGAAAAAAAAAACGATAATTCAAATTCTTTAGATTAATTGATTTGGAGTACTGTACATAGATTTTTAGCTGGCTAGTCTGAGAAAAAAAGGATAGAATTTGTAAATTAATTAATTTCAGAGAGCTTCAGTTGCGTAGGCTCACTGCGGGTCTGCAGGTGTGTCCTGTCAACGGGATGCTTACTTCTCCTAGGCACCGGAACTTGCAAGGGTCCGTTTTTCTTTTGCGACCGATCACTGTTCATTCTGTATTTTGATACAGATACTGAGTACTTCCGTTTTTTAATATTATAAACTATTTCTCTCATAGGAAGAAAGACAAGTAAACAAGATAATAAAGTTTTAAGAAATCTACATTATTGACTTTTCATACAATTAAATGCTCGAATAAGTAAATGGAATATGACAATTATTTAAAAAAGAGTCTTGCACGATATGTATGAGGGAACATATACTTATATTTGGCAAATGCTTTTCATGCAATATTGATATCAAACAAAACGTGTGAAAAGGAAAGTTGTTGTTTAATCCATCAATTATACTAGTATTTAAAAATTCAAACGTACACTCAAAGTCAGTGTATGACAATCAATTGTCCATTGCAAGAATTACTTAGTTATCAGTGTCACTTTCTTCAATATGCCGGATAAGCAATACATTGTATATTTTTTACTAAAAACAAGTATGCGAATTTCTATCACTGTCTGTAAACATCTGTATTTTAATTTTTATTTCTTTTCAAAGGCTCAAAATGATAATTAGCAAAATGGAAAAATTCAAATTTAAAAAGTAGTTTTACAACTTACATTTTCCATAGGAATTTAACAAACCTTCAAAATAATCATTTATTATATATAATTTTAAATTTTCACTAATTGCAAAGATTTTTCATGCCTCTTTCTTCCGTGCATATTTTATATCGGTTGATTTTTAGAAGAGGATCACGATGCCGATGAAAATTTTTGTTTTTTCCAATTTTTTAAAATTAATTTTACTATTTTCAGGGTTCCATTATTATTGTAATTATCCTTTTTTAAAATAAGCGATCGTTTATGATCATTTGTAATAATTATCAAAGACTGAGTATAGAATTTATCCCTGGGAACAAAGCTTTTATAATCTTTAATAAATTAGAGAGAAAACAAGCAAATTCAAGGAATTGTGGTCCCCCGCTTTCGGTGTCTCTGTGGGTGAGATGTCATTCTTATGACATATTGACATATAGTACTATGAACACCCTATCATATGTCATTTATTTAGAAATCATCACTGAACTCCAAGGTCAAGGTCAAAAAGTTAAAGTATTTGGTATCCGATGAAAAGTCTTCTCACAAGGATTACATATGTGAAGTATGAAAGCCCTAGCCCTTACCATTCGAAAGTTATGGTAAAGGTTTAAGTTTTTTCATAAGTACGAAAAATCTCCAAGGTCAAGGTCAAAAGGTCAAAGTTGTTGATATCCAATGAAAGGTCTTGCCACAAAAAATACATATTTGAAAGATGAAAGTCCTAGTGTCTACGGTTCAAAAGTTGTGGCAAAGGACAAAGTTTTTGAAAAGTAGGTCAAACTACAAGGTCAAAGGGTCAAAGTTCTTGGTATCCAATAAAAGGTCTTCTCACAAGGATTACATATATGAAGCTTGAAAGCCCTAGCCCTTACTGTTCAAAAGTTATGGTCAAGGTTAAAGTTTTTTCATAAGCACGGAAATCTCCAAGGTCAAGGTCAAAAGGTCAAAGTTGTTGATATCCAATGAAAGGTCTTGTCACAAAAAATATAAATGTGAAATGTGAAAGTCCTATAGTATCTAACATTTCAAAAATTATGGCCAAAGTAAAAGTATGGAATTTTTTGTGTAAAAGTGGGTCAAACTCCAAGGTCAAGGTCAAAAGGTCAATTTTGGTGGTACACAAAGAAAGTTCTTATCACAAGGATTACACATGTGAAATATGAAAGTCAAAGCTCCACTAAATCAAAAGTTATGGGCAAGGTTAGAGTTTTTGTGACGGACAGACTGACAGACTGACAGACAGACGAATGAGATTTAATGTCCCCTCGCCTTCGCGAAAGCAGGGGACAAAAGGATGAATTTTTTTTAAAGAATTTTTTTGTGTTGTTATAAAGTTTTTACGAATTAATCTAGCCCGCTGCAGCCATATTTTCTTCTCTGCATCTCTATGAATTTTTTGGAGACTGATGACATGTCCATCTACAGTTTTACCTCTGAAATTGCTGCATATTCAGCAGTACATGTATAGTTCGTCTTCCACGACCGATATCGAAAACTGCGTTTTTGCTCGATTGTATGTCATAACATAGTTTACTTACAAGAACACATCTGGTGACAATAAAGGCCTATTTCATTTGAATTAATCGTGTTTCTAGAAATTTATATTTGTAAAATAATTGATTCACTTTATAGTATTAAAACTTTGAATGGAATTTAATCTCATGTGCTCATGTAACGAAGAAAGACTAATTGAAATAGCATCGACCTGTCAATTCGTGTTACATATGTCGTATAAAATCTGAGCTGTATCTAATCAAAGTTTTAGTGTAGGATCTAAGCATATGTATATTCCCGAGTAAAATACACTTATTTTGTTTTAGATCAGAAAATTGACAAGAGAAACACGAAATTGATACAATAATTTCCTCGTCAATACGGAAAACATTCTTTTCGTAAAGTGCTATTTATGTTTTTAAAATCCTTTCCAGTGTAAGTATTTATTTTTATAAGTTTTTCTTTTTTGCAAAGTGTGTAAAAACAATATCTGAGAGAGAGAGAGAGAGAGAGAGAGAGAGAGAGAGAGAGAGAGAGAGAGAGAGAGAGAGAGAGAGAGAGAGCCGTGAAACTGACATACATGTACATCTGTGAAAAAAATATGTATATATATATACCGTAATTATATTGATTCCACAATTAATAATTCTGATGATTTTTAATTTCCACAACTTTGGTTCATATTCAACTTTTCAACCCATTTATACATTCGTTCTTTGTACATGCTGTACGCACAAAACCCTCGTGCATCACCTGTCCATCAAATTTGTGTGAAAGTTAATTTGAAACATTCTAGCTTATGGTCAGTTCTGAGTTCAAGTGTGCAACACACTCAACTGACATTCAGCGAAAGTCATCTTCTCGGTTTCATCACAATGCTTATAACAAACTTACATGTATTTTGTAAATTATCCTTTTTTAAACATAAATAAGATGTATTCCGTAGATTATAAGATTTTAAGAAAGAATTACAATAATGTAACATGAAATTGCACATTTCTGATGAAGTTGTTTACCAGCTAACAGGCACATAGCAACGGGGAGGGGGGGGGGGGGGCGGGGGGGCCCAGCCCCACCCCCACTTTTTTCCCAACATTACTTTTACTATTGAAAATGTTCATTGAAAGACAGGTTGCCCCCCCCCCCCCCCAGTTTATACTACGGAAAAGTTATTTAAGGAAAATGTATTATTGTATGCCAAGGTATTAGTACTGAAATAAGTAGCTTTTTTCGCCTTTGGGCAAGGTTTTTTTCTGCTTGTCAACTTTTCCAGGCAGGAAAAAAATAATTTCTCTGGCTGCCCCCCCCCCCCACTTTTAAAGACGACGCTACGTGCCTGGCTAATTCGTATCGCTTTCTAGAAAGGGTGGGGCTAACAGACCCTTTATAAAATCGCTAATTATCTAAAAAAAAATTCGCAAACTGTGTCCTTCTTTTAAAATTCTTAAATGCAGCGTGTAAGTTGATCACTATTTTGTTGGATTATTGTAACGCGTAGTCCGCGGAAGTTATGCTGGTGTAGAAGAGTTCCGATTTCGAGTAGAGATAACTCACGTTTTTAAAATGGGGAATAATGATGTCAGATATTTTCGTAGGGTCAAATTTTCAAGGTTTTAAAAAGAAATATTGATTTGTGGAATTTTGATTTCGAAGTTGGAGAAGTGCTGAGTAATTGCACATATGAAATATATCATTTTGTGATGGTCATAAAATCATTGGTCTCTCAAAACCATCATAAGAACGAAAATACCCCCTCCCCAGAATTATTGATTTCATAGTTTATCTTTTTTCTTTTAGATATGAATCATAAATTAAAGGAAACTATTTTCTTTTTGAATTTGTTTCGTCTACCAAGTAATTAACATTTTCTATTTTTTGTTCCTTTTCTCGTGCAGCCTTCTGTTCTTCTATCCTCTCCGTGTTTTAGATACTACCTGCTTTCATTATGAACAAACCGGAAGTAGACTTAAACAAACAACTGGTTTTCTTGATGGTCCAAATAGGCCTAGATGTTTTTATAAGTACCTTAACTGAATCATAAGGTAAAGTAAATTTAACATAATTTTACAATATTGTTCCACTAATATGTAATGAAGAACAATGTTTAAAATCTATAAAAAAAATCGTCGAAAGACAAAGAAAACCTCTCAAATATTGGAAGGCCATAATAAATGTGAAGCACGTGGAGTGAGTTACATATTTTTACTATGACAAAATTTTACGGAAACGGTTAATAATTGACACATTTTGTTGAACTGTGTTGTTCGTTTTATTTTTTATTCTTTGTTTGTTACAAATTCTTATTAAAGGTAAATGATATACACATTCATCTTCAGTTGTCGGGGCATACTATAAAACATGGTTTGGTCCTAATCGGCATTGATTAGCTTTCATATAGATTTTTAATTAAATGAAAGCTGCACTGAGCTCAATATTAAAAAATGAAATACCGTACTTTTTGACATCAATCAATCATGATTTTATTTTTATTGAATATATTCTTTAAGTAAATAAAAAAATAATGTTTCTAGCTGAAATGATTTTTGAATTCATTTTTTTCCAGACTATTTCAAATACTAACAATGGCAACGGCACAGGGTCAGGACATCATAGAATGTTCATTATGTCAAGAGCCAGTGGAATTTTATTGTAATCACTGTCACACAGAGTTATGTAGTAACTGTGTTCTGATTCACATGAAAGACAAAACGAAAAAACACCAAGTAGTTGAATTTAGCAACAAAAAGTGCTCACTTGTCTTCCTTGAATGCAGTTCCCATGAAAACAAGTGCGAAACGTATTGCTGTGATTGTGAGATTCCAACTTGTATAAAATGCGTAACAGATTCGCATAAAGGTCACGTCTTTTCAGATCTCGAAAATTTTATTGAAGATCGAAAGAAACAGATCTCTTCAGATATAGAGGAACAGAAATCCATTTGTGAGAGGTACCAGACCTTGAAAGAAGCTATAGTTCCACACGAAAATGAGTTTGATACAGCAATTAAAAAGATATCTCAGAGAGAAGAGGAAGTGGTCAGAACTGTCCGTGAAGCTGCAGCAAAAATGAAGTCAGATGTGGAAGAAAGGAAAACAAAGGTTATGTCACGGAATAAAGAAAATATGAAAAGAATCTTAGATTCAGAGCATCAACTACAGCAAGCCATCAAAAAGTGTGAAGAAACTTTGCAGTCAAGGTTCGCAATTGATCTTATAAATTACTGCTCAATAAGTAAAAAGAATCAAGAAGATCCATGTTTCTCTGAAAATGTAAGCCCTGTATTTTTGTCCGGAATTTCTGACAAAGAACAAATATTGGAAATGATTGGCTCTGTGTCTTACAAAGATGATGCAAACAAGAGCATAAAAATGCATCATGTATCATCTGATATCCCTTCAGCAATACTGAAAACAATTCAATCACCTTACCTTCCACTTTGGAGATTACAATCGGGAATCAATGGCAAGATATGGACGAGTGGCGATGATCACACAATCAAAGAACTAGACAAAAATGGAAAAATTCTAAACACTATACAAAATGCTCAAAAACCTGGAATCTTTTCCATCAATACAAATGGAGATTTATTGTTTCCGGCAGATCATCCATCGGGAACAATTTTTCTTTTTACTGAGGGCAGATTTAAGCGTTATTTTTCTCTTCGAGATTGGTTTGCAATGGGAATTTGTTTTTCTTTCCACGAAACTGTGTTAGTGAGCATGCGTTCTGCAGGTGAAAAGCAGAGCAGAGTGACAAGGTTCTCAAACCAAGCAGAGATAGAACGAATCCAATATGATGCTCAGGGAATTCCTTTGTTTTCTACGAACAACATGAACGTTCTTCCTTTGACAGAAAACGGAAATGGAGATATTTGTGTGGCTGATTTCGCTGGAGAGATAGTTGTTGTTGTTGACGCGTATGGGAAACTCAGATTTAAATATGACGGTAATATTATCAACCAATCAAAGTACAAAAAATTTTCCCCATTACACATTGCAACTGATGTCAACCAACAAATTCTGATCTGTGACTATTTGAATGACATTGTTCATGTCATTGACAAAAATGGTAACTTTGTCCGTTATATAGAATATTCTTGCAAAGGCGGACTCAGTGTTGATTGTGACCACAATCTAGTCATAGGAAATGAAGAAAACGGTCTTATTAGTATAATTAAATGCTAAAAAAAAATAAGGTAAACAGAAAGCAAAAAATGCCTCTGGTAATTGCGATCATTCTTTATCTAAATAAAAATGTAATAAGCAATTTATTAATCAAGGGCGAATCAGGAATTCAAATTGGATGAAACATAATGTAAAAAAGGAGAAAAGGGAAACGCTTGCCCCTATGTACAGTCATGCTTGCTAAATGATTCTCATATGTTCAAAACAAATGACATACATACTAGTATGAGAAAACCACTTCACGTACACATTTTTCTTTTGTAAATGCTGATTATTATTAGGTCTTTCCACCTTTCTGTGGAAAGACCTATTGATATTGTTCTGTTTATTATTATTCTTCTCATTTATTATTTTTCCACCGCATGTTTTTGATATATCGAAAAGATTTATAGTCCATAAGAATGTACTTAGTTAAAGAATATTGCAGTTGACCCTGCGTAAATGAACCTTCACCCCTTTCAGAGTTACGACCCCTTTCGCAAGAAATGCTTGTTATCGCTACTACTTCGAAACCGTAAACAGTAGAGGTTTGAAACCTTCACCAATGTCTTCAACTAATTTAGGTGACTCTTCAATCTATTCATTGCAAAAGTTTTCGGTGACCCCTTCAATGAGTTATTGCCCCTGAAACTTTTAAAATTTTACAAATAATTTCAAATCGACAAGTCGTAGAGACATGAGACCAACTGCATAAGATTCATTGACCTTTGACCTTGAAATCCATGTAAAGGTCAAAGGTCAAGGTCATTCCAAAATTGAGAAATTAAGCTTTTTTTATATTTCTTTTGTCTTTCAACATATACTTAATGTCTATGCATCATTAATATGTACTCTTGAAACTGTTTTAAAGATATCATTCTTGTCCCCTAACATTAACCCTTTTAAAAGTTATTGGCCCTTGTGTGAAAAACCTTGTTATCTCTACTCCTCCGAAACTGTAGACCATAGAGATACCAAACCTTCACTAATGTCTTAAGGGTCTTTAGGCCTAACTTCACTGTATAAGTGCAAAAGGATTTGATGACCCCTTATATGAGTTATAACCCTTTAACTTCTTTGTACTTACTATTAAACCTTATAAATTGAAAACTATAAGTCGTAGAAGCATGTGGTCAACTGCATTGTGACCCTTGACTTTTGACCTTGAATAATTTGTCAAGGTCAAAGGTCAAGGTCATTCCATTTTTTTTTTATTTTCATTTTTTTATGCTTTCAGACAATTTTGGTTTCTTTTTCATGGAATTTAATTTTAAGAAGTCAGATATAAAACAAAATTGAAAATTCAAAGAAGGTGGAAAGACCTCTTATTGTTCTGTGAACAATAAGTCTCCTAGTTATTATTATTATCATTATTATCATTATATATATATATATATTATATCTAATATATTTATATATATAATAATGGTAGTGTTCAATAGGGCTGAAACTATTCATCGAAATATCGATATTTATCGATATAATTCCTCAATTCAATATTCGATTCACTACCTCAATTTTCAATTCAATACATTTCTTTTTTCAATCATGCAGGTTAGATTATCCCTTAAAATGACCGGCTTTGTCCCCATTTTGACATTTTTACACTCAAGAGAGCTAAAATTGAGACAGAAAAATATTTTGAGCAGGCTACCGCTGCTAGAGTTGACACAGACAATGTGCTATTTTAATTGAGAGAAGCACAATAAGTGTTTTCTCTCTATATCACCACCTTTCACATATCTTTTGGAATCTGAATACGTTTTCTTTAATCTAATGATCTGTTTCTTTTTTTTTTAAATGTATCGTATGGAAAAAATTGAATTGTGACATAAGTATTGCAATATGTATCTTATCGTGTAGGGGGTGAATCGTTTCAGCCCTAGCGTTCAATATTTTAGAAAAAAAAACTTAAAACATAAAGGAGTGAATGAAAAAATAAAATAATGTTAATTAATATTTAATTGTCTGTTTACAAAAGGAAATTTAAAAGTGTATTGAATTTGTATATTTTGTTAATCAATGTTTCAAGTTTTCTTATAGCTTTTTGTAGGAACATTACAATGTCATAAATTACATTAACATTAAAATAAGTTAATTTATCTTTTTTTAAACTTTTTACTTTATAGTGCTATTGTCTTTTGCTTAAACTGGGTATTACTTGAATATTTTGTGACAGGTATCATTGTGGATAACAATAAATAAATCAGAGTTTTTAAAATCCACCGGTCCCACCGACAAAACTGGTAAACATTTCAAAGGTCCGGTAATTTTCTTCATGTAATCGGTCCGAGGGACCAGTAAAACAAATTGGATCTTCCCGGAATTTTAACCTCTTAACCTCTGAATTTTTAGATTGTGAGATTGTCAAAAGGATTGAATCTGTGTGTATGAAAGAATACACTCAAGGGCTTTTACGACAGTTAGTCATGATTTTTTCCCTGCAATGTCTGTGTTTGTTCGATCATTCAGCTGATTCAATTTGTACAGAAATGTTAATTGTAGCTTTGTTTGGGGTGCAACATATGTTAACCGAATTGCTAATCATCATTTACCTTGAATATAGAGTTTTAAAAAAATAATCATTTTTGTTACATTAAACATTTCCCCCACATTTTGAACTTCGTTTTTTCTGCGGTAGGCAGCCATGTTGGGTATCTACTGTAAATATCACACCTGGTTAATTCAGTCCGGGGATATTTGACCCTTAGATTTTTTTAAGGCCTAACTGGAATTAAAACATTTTTTTTTATTTTGAATATCTGTTTGTTGATGGACCAGTGAATATTTGTGTGGACCGGTGAATTTCACTAAATCACTGGTCCACTTGACCAATGAAATTGTTTTTATTTCAAAAATTCTGATAAATGCATTAATGTTTTTTATCTCAAAAACGTGAAATGGTGTATATAAAATCAGATTGTAAGAGTAATGGGTGGATATTTATAAATCCTCTCCGTCATGTAGATCCACATTAGCCCTGAATGTGTAAATAGTCTTGTTGACGTCAGGCATATATCTTATGCAGAAATAACCTATTCAACTTTTTTTATCTTTAAAAAGGTATCGAACTTGGGTCTTCGTACTCAGACATGTCGTAAAATTCAAACTGATAACAATTTACAAACAATTTTTAAAAGTATTTATGATTTATATGTTTAACTATATTTATTTTTCAATAAAAAATCTTTCTATCATGTATTGATGACCAAGACGTATACAAAATTACTATATTTACGACATATGCCTAAGAAGTGAAATCGACATGATCGAGAGAGGAAGAAGACGGGATCGCCCCTTTCAAAGCGACAGGAATGCCGAATGACACTCCGCTAAAAGTATTCTCGTTAAAAGAGTCGACAGAAATTTGAAAAAGCGAAAATGTAAGTTTCCAATGCTTTCAAACTTATTGAAAATAGCAATGTTTATGCATTATAGATACAAAAGTTTTAAAATACCTAGTATATTGTCACATCGCAGGGCTCAACATTAAGGCACGTCCGACCGACTCAGACTAGTAAAAGTTAGGTCCGGTCTAGTTTATTTTGTTTCATGGTAGCCCGACTGGTCGTGTAATAATATTTCGACCAATGTTCAAATCAAGCAAAACTTGCAACAAATTTACAGATTTTTCTTCTTTATCAATCAGGTTTCACTTTTATTTTTTTATCCCAACTAAAAAATCATATACTCAAAAAAATAATGTTTGTTTCCTGTAGGCCTATATTGCTGTCAATGTAATCCAACCGACTCAACATGCAGCCGGTGGATTATTTTCTGCCAAATCTGAGTTTGATCAATCAGCTGATACAATATTTGAGACATAAAATATGCCAACCTAGTCAACATTAACTTTAAATATAAAAAGTAATGATCATTATTATATCATTTAGCAATCCCACATAACTTTTGGAACTTCGTTTTCTACGCAAGACAGCCATGATTGATGTCCACTGTAAATATCACACCTGGTTATTTCAGTCCGGGATGTTTGAACCCATTACTTAGGCATTATGGAAATTGGGAAGTTCTCAATTTATGAGATCTTATTAAGCCCCCCAAAAAATCTACTGACCAACCCTTGTTTTAAGGGTAATATTACCATGATTACAGGAAACCAAAATATTATATTCCATAGTATACATATGAATATTTCATAAATAGTACTGTCGTTTGACTTTCTCCTAAATGCTATCTCTACCAAGATTTTTCCTTCCTGCTAGGTCATTTACAACAACTGTTGCATGGTATGATTTCATTTAACCATGCAGTCATAGAACTAAATCGAATTGAAATACCCGGTACATCTCCCTTTCTGATATTTTCTTAAATTTAATAAAAAGATGTTTATTTTCTTTAATTTTCTTTGTAGCAAAACCAAGTTAAATGATAAGCATCAATTTGCTTACATTGACAATGTTATCCGACTATTGGTTTTTCTCTTCATGATATTTTTTTTCAGATTTAATATTTATTTAGTAAACCATGTATATTAGGTCAGGTCTAGTGAAATTGAGGTCAGGTCTAGTAAATTTTCCAGCTACTAGTCCGACTGGTCTAGTTAATTTTAAAGTTAATGTTTAGCCCTGCATCGCAAACTGAAACATTGCATTATGTTTATAATCATGTCACATATTTGTACGGAACGTTTCCAGATTTGTGCAGACGACAGCATTCGTATTATCCTTTTTATTGCAACTTTAGCTCGTAGTAAATGATAAATTTCATTTGATATTGTAAATGCAGAATATTTATCCCAAATTTATAGACAAACCGTACGAAAACAATAAGATAACATCTCTAATTTTTAGCTGTTTACATTCGAAAAGAAACTAGGTTGCTTCCTTCTATGGCGGCCTATTCGGGTTAAAAAATAGAATATTTCTGAAACATCATAGAACATATTGAAATTATTTGACTCTAAACTACAGGCTTGGGTTCGTAAAAACAAAGTCAGATAGACAAAATAATGATTTTACATTTTTTAAACAATGAAATTACCAGTAATTATAATTTTTTTTTTCTAAAATAATTTTTTTCAGATAAGTCTTGTTGTCACAAGAAACACAAATGAAGAACATTAGAAGAGAGCAGGTTTTTAGAACCACTAAAATTGGGTGGAGAAAACCATGCAAATCAGATTGAGAAAGTGGGACTGGATTTGACTAATCCCAAGGAAGTCACCATCCAACACCACAAACCAGAACCCAATCCAGAATCCGCAGGGCAAGAGAAAGAGAGGGCATCTAACAAACTATAATTATGAAGTTTTATATGTTAAATAATTACTTTTTGTTCATAAAAGCTTTCCTAAACAAAATTGCAATTATTACCTGAAATTATCACACAAATTTTGAATATTTGGTGAATAAAACGCATACTTTGAAGCCTAAATGCCTTGATTTATTTTCATTAAATGCTGAAAAAGAAATAGGGGGTGGGGATATAAAAAATATCAAAACTTTCTTATATGTACACTAACCCCTACTTTTTATACTATGAAAAGGAACCAAAATACCTAAAGAAACTGTGTAACAAATTTCTCAAAAAGTTTAATTGTAGAAATATGTTTTTCTCTGGTTTTTGAGCAATTTTATGGGGAAAAATTTGCCTAATTTTGACACCGGTGTACAACATTTTTGGGTACAAGTTATCTAATTGGTGTTTATTTGCTCATATTTTGCTTAAAAAATTAACTTTGCAATACTTTCAAGTAAATTTAAGCCAAATTAGATTTAAATTAATTGTATTTATAAGTTTATGAGGTATTTTTATGGTCTAATAGCTATTTTAATGAAATTTCCCATGCTCTTTTTTGGCCTATGTTTGAGGGGTTGAATCTCTCTTAGATGAACACTAACATACACTTTTCTTGTCTTTAAATTATTCCTTGGATATTACACTTTCAGAAAAATATAAGCATGTGGAAAGTTAAATGCACGTTTTTTTTCGGGTATCAGAAGAATACATCCTTAAATGACTTTATAAACAAAATTTTGTTCTATGCATTTCATATAAGTGTTTATCCTTTACAAGAAGTTTCATGCCTGCTTTTTAAAAATATTTGACGTTTTCCAACATTCTTTTTTTAATTTTACCAATTCACAGAACTAAAGGCTAATTGTATTCATTAATATTGATGGAAAGAAAACATCACTCCATGATTCGATACAATTCTCGAAAAAAATTAAATAGAACGAAATTCAAAACAAATCTCGAAAATGTGATAAAATGTTTTTACCGGACTGTATATGTTCTAATCAAAGCACAAAGACGACATTAGAAGCATTGTGCAGTTGAAATAATTTGAATTTAATTTGGATTGCAAGTATCGAAAATGTACTCAAGAAATACAGCTTCCAGTTGAAGGTGGCGAATTTCCACTTCTCCAACGGCATCGGTTCTAAAGTTTTCCTGGTAAGCGAAATATCAAAATCGTTAAAATCTGATAATGTTAGATATTTTGCAAAGATAGACATAATACAGTGAAGACTGTCTAATACGACACCTGAATAATCTGACAAACTGTGAATTTCGACGTTAAATTTCTTTCCAATTTAGTATTTTCCTTGTTTTTAACACTTTGCAATCCGACTCCCTGTCTATTCCGAAAAACATAATTGAATATAATAAACCCCTTCTTGAAAAAAAAAAACCAAAAAACATATCATCAGGGAAAATGTGCTTTTTATGTTTATTTCTAAGTTGACAAACAGAGATAAATTTATCGGTAAAAACTAGAGATGTCAAATCAGTCAATTTTTAATACTCGGTTAATCGGACGTTTTTCCGATCGAGTACTCGGGTACTCGGTAAAAGTCTAAATAAATATGAACAAGTTAATTGATAACTGTAAAACATTGAAATAAAACCACATGGTCTGATGGGAGGTTTATACTGTAAATTATGACAACTTTGTGCCCGACGAAATTTAATCAAGTTCTAACAGAGCAGATTTACGATCTTCGTACACTTTTCGATCATTGATTTCATTAAAATTACGAGACGGTATGTTGTAGTTTGGTGCAACAATGGACATAAGATTTTTAAAACCTTTGCATTCAACCATTTGCATTAATTGGCACGTAATCAAACGCATCCATATCAACAATCGCACGTGCAATATCGTCTGTCTCTTTCCCCGAGAATCTACGGCTTCTGGAGAATTGACAAAATTATCTAATTCATTTAAACATACATAATAGACCTTGAACGATGTTCAATGAAAACAAATAATTAGAGCAAACTAAACATAAGGGTAGAAGACAGCCGAAGGTGAGAAAAGCCAGGTAGGTAGCAGGTGCTTGGTCACGGTAATTACTGTATAAACACTGCCACAGGCGATCACTGTCATTTAGAGGCTCAGGAAACCCTAATTACTGTATGTACAAGTGCAATGAACATTTTACGTTTAAAACCGATATTTTAATGCATTAATAAATAAGCTTAGAAATATTTAAAAATATACATCCGTGTAACCGAGTACCGATTTCAGTATTCGATACTCGGACGTTCGTTCGAGTACCCGGTTAACCGGGTACTCGTTGACATCCCTAGTAAAAACGAATGAATCTAAAAGAAAAATCATATTCTAACGAATCAAAGTAATAGTAAGATGTTTTCCCGTCAAGAATATATTCATTTTGTGGATGTTTAAATCGATACAATGAGCCATAGCGCATTTGATAGTCACTTTCGCCTACTCTAGTTGCGATTTTTTAAATTCATCGTTTAACTAAAATTTTGTCATACAAGGTTCATTTATACATGCCTTAAAGCAAATCACACACAAAAAAAATGATATTCCAATATTAATAGTTCTCATATGATAGATATAAAAATCGTTCGGTTTATATGGAGAATATAGTAAATACTGAGGTATCCCCCTAAACAATGACAAACGGTAGCAAAAGACCACCCTTAACCAGACAATCAACTTTTGAATAATTTTATTTGGATATGACTGCACTTCATTACATTTAGATAATTTTGGTTAAAGATTGTCTTCATATTGAAAATGTTGAAAACATGTATCTAATTTTTCTTCTCAAAATTATTTTAAGATTTAACAATCTGTCTTAAATTTGTCCAATCGATTACAATGACTTTGTGGCTTAGTGGTATGATTGCTGGATTGTGGACATAATGATCGTGTGTTCGAGTCTCACAGTATCTGTTTCTTTTCTACGCTTTTATTTTATTTTATTTTTTTGCTCTGTGCATTTTTCCTATGCTTTTCTTTTATTATTTTATAATACATGTATAAATAATATACAACATTACACCTTAAAAGTAAGTAAGTAAGTAAGTAAGTAAGTAAATTGTTTATTATAGTGACATGTGTTATACAGTACAATGAAAAACATTTAATACAATTAATATCCAAACACCCGGCCCATCGGACCTATATGTCACTTTTAACAAAATATATGAAAAATATATACACAAATATTACGCATGGCGTTTTTTATACAACAGAGATTGTCGGTGCATGTATGAAAGGTATAAATATTTTGAGGTCTGCCTGGGAAAATTTGTTAAAAGAAAATTTACACTATCTTGAACTGACATAGACAAAGTTGGGTTACATCTAATACTAGTAAATAAATCTGCTCTGAAATTGGAATATTCTGTACAATTTAATAAAAAGTGATACTCGTCTTCTATTTCATCTTTAGAACAAAAATTACATAACCTATCTTCTAATGATTCTCCTTTATATCTTCCACTTTCAACTCTAATTGGTAAAATTCCACATCTAAATTGAGCAAGAATAGATCTTTGAAATTTTGGAATATTCATTTCTAGGTAGTTTTCAGTATTAAAATGTGTTTTAAAATCTTTATACATACGTAATTTAGGTAGTTGTTTTATTTTTACTAGCCATTCATTCTCATAATTTAAAAGTAATCTTCGTTCAAATTCAACTATATCAAATAATAATAACCTATGATAAACATGTTCAGAATTCACCGATTCAAATAGAGATTTAATTTGCGACGTCCAGCTATATTTATTACACTGATTTAGTTCCCACAAGAAAGCATGTTTTGTTATGCGGTTGTCCTCCATGGTCAGTAAACGATTCCAGTATCGTACAGCGTTAATGTAGTGTCTATGGAAAGGCAGCTTCGAAATTTTTTACGTGAACTTTTAGACCAGTCATATTTTTTGGAATCTTACACTCCATTTCCTTTGTTATAACATTACACAATTCTTTCTATGTTCTATCAATGTTTACTTGTGATTCACGACACGTCTCAATGCTTCTGATTATATTCAATAAACAAGTTCTTGTGTTTGTTGAGGACATAAAAGATTGAGGGATACATCGCATTTTGTATTTCTTGAATGGGGGTGGGGAGTCTGTATTTTTGTGTCCGGTTGATTTTAAATCCTCTCTTAAATCTCTTATCTTAAAATCAAACATTAGAAATCCATGATCGGGAATTCGACAGTTTTCACCCTGTAAGTTTACTAATCCAGCATTTTCAACAATCTCATTACACGAAATTATCCGGAAATCTGAGCACTGATAATAAACATCATGCGGAACACAAATATAGTCGACCACGGAGTGTCCTCTTGTAGATCGAAATGTATAATCATTTGACTCATCACCAAATCTACCATTCAGAATGCAGAATTTACAGTCATTAAGAAATTCTATGAATGAGTTTCCATGTTGATTTTGCACACTATCAATGTATAGTTTGGGGGGTATACTATCAAGGTCCTTATCAAAGTCATGTATATTCCCAATGCGTGCATTCAAGTCGCCACATATAAATATTGCATCAGTATCATACTGCATGTAAATCTGAGTAAGGAGGTGTGAGAAAAAGGATGACGCATCACGACCCCATGGTGAACTTTCAGGTGGTAAGTAGCAAGAAAATACAACAAATGTGAAGTCTGATTGTTTGTTTGTAAACTTTACTCCTAGAATTCCATCCACTGAGTTGTCTATTGTGTATATTTTATAATCCATACTTAAACGCTCTTTGATCAATAACCCAACTCCACCAGATCCTTTCGGTGCTTTCACGTGTACGTTAGATCGGTTAAGGCCTCTCTATTTATACCCAGCTACATCTAAATTATCTTTGTTTAGTAAATGGGTTTCATTAATAGATACAATGTCACAATCTTTGTATTTTACAATTTCTGATCTTAGTTCATGATTTTTATTTGTCCAGCCACAAACGTTTAGATGTCCTATACGTATTGTTTCGACAGGTCGGGGGGATTCCTAATCCGTGTTTTCATCTCTCATGTTTTGCTGATCATGTACAGGTGTTTTCCTAACAATGCGACCATTTGCTGTTATTCTATAATCTCTACCATTCGGAATTTCACTGAGGATAGTTCTCGCATTTAGTTCAATTAATCTCTCTGTGTGGGACTTACTTGATCGCAAGGAAACCGAGTTGTAGCCTTCGATCTCGCTAAGTCGACGCTTTGCCTTAAGCACTCGAATTTTCTCATCAACCCCAGCAAAACAACAATTATTAGAATAATAATTGTATTTATGTATTTAATGCGATAATTTGTTTGGAGGTTTTCGGAAACATTTACGTTGGTAAATTGTGAAAATTCTCAGATCCACGCCTTGCCTAATTGTAATGGAATGTGTAAGGTCACGTGGTCAGCTCAGCGAGTCATTCACACTCGCGCGCTCACCACCGCTAACATGAAGCACGTCTATTTTGAAGAAGGCTTTAATGACAAAGAAGTAAAAACAAATATACAATTGGAAATCAGGACCCATTCTTTGCCGGGAATCCATTTTTGGCGTCATAGAGGGTTTCTGGCATGACCTAAACTATCTGGGTCCTGATGGTGTAAATCTGTGCTGCACCCCCTCGCACGACCAACCTATGCGGAAGTTCCTTTGAAGTATAAGGAATGCAGTTATTCAATCGCCAAGCTTATTAAGGCCAGTATAACTTTTTGTCTCATTCTACATGAATTGCACACTGGGGTGCTTATGTTTGTGGTAGGCTACCAAGTTTTAAGGTCATAAGAGAGAATTAATTGCTCTGTCAGTCAGTGCTGTTCGTTAAAGGCTAGTTGATGTCTTGATGGCTGTTTGCTGTTAGGCAATAAAATCAATGTTCGAAATATTTAGAATCATGCATGCATGTTTGGTGAACTTGTTACTGACGAGACATATTCAGGACCAGGTGGCTCATAATGACAATGGTTTCGTCTTATGAAGCAGTTATTTATCTGGGCATTGTTTCGCATTATCTCGTTTCTTTATTGTTTATTCTTTCGTACAATATAGGTAGGAAACTAGAAGTCAAAGTATATATTCTGTCTGATTATTATTAATTACAATCGGTATGACGTTTAGGTCTTATGTACTTATCGTTTGGAAGTAGAGGTACACAGTCAACATATGAACCTACCCACGTGTTAAGCAATAGTGCAGAGTAGGCCGCATATAAGTACTCATTGTATGGGAGTCTAGGTGCAAAGTTTATATGTGCCTACCCATGTTTAACAATGGTACGGAGTAGGCCGCATATAAGTACTCATTGTATGGGAGTCTAGGTGCAAAGTTTATCTGTGCTTACCCATGTTTAACAATGGTACGGAGTAGGCCGCATATAAGTACTCATTGTATGGGAGTCTAGGTGCAAAGTTTATATGTGCCTACCCATGTTTAACAATGGTACGGAGTAGGCCGCATATAAGTACTCATTGTATGGGAGTCTAGGTGCAAAGTTTATCTGTGCCTACCCATGTTTAACAATGGTACGGAGTAGGCCGCATATATGTACTCAGTGTATGGGAGTCTAGGTGCAAAGTTTATCTGTGCCTACCCATGTTTAACAATGGTACAGAGTTAAGGCCGCATATATGTACTCATTGTATGGGAGTCTAGGTGCAAAGTTTATCTGTGCTTACCCATGTTTAACAATGGTACAGAGTTAAGGCCGCATATATGTACTCATTGTATGGGAGTTTTAGGTACAAAGTTTATCTGTGCCTACCCATGTTTAACATTGGTACGGAGTAGGCCGCATATATGTACTTATTGTGTGGGAGTTTAGGTTCAAAGTTGTTATGTACCTATCTATCCAAGTATTAAATAATAGTACAGAATTGTAGTCTTCCTTCGTGTTTTTTTTTTTTTTTTTTTTTACCAGTCGCACTTGATTAAATGGTTTTGTCTATCAAGTTTCTAAACTGTGCTTATGTTTATGGTTTGTACCTAGGGATAAACATTGGATTTATAAGTTCTATATTGTTTTATTGCTAATGATTGTTTGAGGAAGTTCAATTGCGATTGCACTGTGTGCTTCACTTAAGTAATTGTTGATACGTTACCCAGTGTTTAGTTGAATTAAATTTTTCATTAATTTGCACATATCGTAAGGCGACAAGATATATAAAGTGATTGTTGGGTAACAGGTAAACATTATAATCAAGATTCTATCATTTTGGTATGTTTTACACGATTTTAGTATTGTTTTCGGTTAGCAATAGTACAGAGTATGCCGCATATATGTACTAATTGTGTGGGAGTTTTTGGGTACAAGTTTATTTGTGCCTACCCACAGTTTTAAGCAATAGAACAGAGTAGGCCGCATATATGTACTTATTGTGTGGGAGTTTTGGGTACAAAGTTTATCTGTGCCTACGCACGGTGTTTATCAATAGCACAGAGTAAGCCGCGTATATGTTCTTATTGTGTGGGAGTCTAGGGTTCATTATTTATTTGTACCTATCCACATGTATAAGATAAGAACAAGGCTAAGGGTTTCTTTGTACCAGTAACAGTTTATGTCGTGTTATATTTTTTGATTTGGAGATTTTTTAAGTTAATTGTGGTCGAAGAAATGAAATTTCTCAAGATCAATGGCTTTAATTCGTTGTGCATTGGCATACCTATGTTCAAGGAGTTTGTTCCTGGTATCCTTGTAGATTTTACATATATACCAATAAGATGTAGTTATCCATTTGTTTGCACATTATGACATTTGCGTCTAATGTGGCAGGATTTCATTTAGTGTAGAGTTATCCGTACGCTTAGTGTTCATGTTTTGTGCGGAGTTTATATGTATGCATATGGGTCGAAGTTATCCATACTTTCACTGTTTGGTTTTAAAGTATATATGCCCTATTACATCTAAACATAGTGGCAACTTCATTTCATGTTCATTGCAGTCAATTGCAAGAAAGAGTATCACAATACTTCTTAGTTGCTACAAATTACGTGTTACAAATAGTGGTATCTCCTATACATGTGACATGTTATTCTTTTGTAATGGAGTTAACATATTTATTCTGATTTATCGACATTTCTTTAATTTTCTATTTGATAAAATTGGTAGAATCATGGAATATGTAGAATTTCGTCAAAGCGAATCCTCTCAGCAGAGAATTAATCGATTATTATCAGTATGATTGTAATACAATATATATTTGCTATAACGGTTAGTCTACAGGAGGAAATTTACTCTTTCTGTTCAATGTTGCTACATTTAGTGTTTCTATGAGCATGATAATGTACATGATGTATCACTTTGTTTACAACTCAGTTGTTGGTTTTTGGCGTCCTTTCTTTAAATGACACCTTAGACTTAAAAGTATTCATATAATTTTCATGTTTAAGTTGCAGATGCTTTTGATGAATTTGCCAGTGTGCAAATTTGCTACATCCTAGCAGCCCGAGTGAAGAGGAAGCGTAGCTATAACTATTAATAGCCCAGAGAGCCTAGCAGAATTGTGCCGGATGCCATGAATGTTAATGACACAGGTATAACCGTCTAAATTTTGCCTTCACTATTCTGATGTATA